TGCGTTGGCTTCAGATCTCCTGTGTCAGGTTGTAAACGTATAAGTTGAAGGTCGTCGAGTCGCTGACACGTACTGATGATATCTGCGACCATGGTGGGGTTCTTTGCCGCCAAAACGTTATATGCGACGGCGCCTATGCCCTTGAGCAGGTGGCGAACGCGGTCATGTTCCGCCATCGAGCTGTCGACGTGACGGCATCGGGCGAGGACATCTTCAATGTATGAAGTATAGGACTCGCCAGAGTGCTGGACACGTTCAGCAAGCTTCCGTTTAACGATGTCTGCACGTACAGAAGAGTAGGAAAATATCTGACGGAGCTGCAGCTGAAAGGTAGGCCAGTCTGGGAAATCCAGCTGATGGTTGAGAAACCATGTCTTAGCGACCCCCGTCAGATAGAACGGCACGCGGGACAGCTTCACAGAATTATGCCAATAGTTAAGTGCACTCACACGGTCGCACTCATCCAACCAGTCTGCAACGTCTTTACAGCGAAGGCCAGCGAACATCGGGGGATCTTTTTGAGGGGTGTTGACAGTCCATGAAGGCATGCCCAGGGGTGTAGGTGGGGTGGATGGAGCCGAGTTCTTGTTGTGCTCGTCTTGTGACATGACCATGGGCTGACTGCGCAAACGGCGACCCGACCGGAGCTCCAGGGATGGTTGGTAGTCGAAGATAACGAAAAAGCGCTGCAGGGAGAGGACTAGGGGACCGAAAAGACGCCTGTAAAAGTTCTCCAGTGGAATGGTCGTGCCGTATCTTCCGCTTACATAGATCTTATTTATCTCATACAGCAAACAAATCCTAATGTAATTTTACTTCAAGAGTTTTGGCTTTCACTGAAACAAACATTTACTCTAAAATATTATTGAACTTTTAGATTAGATAGGCCAGGTAGAAGAGGTGCATTATTGGCCCTAATATCTTCAAAAATTTGTCATCATGTTACTGTAACTTTGGAACATATTTGTCGTGATTGTGAATTGTTACGAATAGATTGTTTGTTACCTGACTCCAACAGGATTGCGGTGATTATTGCGTACTTTCCGAATCGAGTAAGACGCACAGATCAACTAGATTGGGTTATCAAGAATTCTTCGTCAAATTGAAATATATTGGCTGAGGATTTGAACTCGCATCACACTTCTTGGGGGTTCAAAACAGATGGCTGTGGCAAAAGACTGTGGAATCGGTTGCAGGATAATAATTTTCGTTGTCGTAATTTGGACAAGTTACCTCTCTACGCGGAATAAACTCATCAACATTAGACCTAACATTTTCGTGTGGCCAGTTTATGATTTCATCATGGGAAACGTTTGATAATGGGGCGAGTAGTGATCATGTAGTGATTACCTATGAAATATTGCTACCACAACTTACCTCTGCTATCCGGCAACAACGGTTCACCAACTATAAAATTTATAAAACTGTTTCAAACTCCGCACTCTCGTCATTGAGAGGACGCGTCAGACAGGAACGAGCTGCTTCAGTAGTAGCGTGTCTAAATGACTCTGTCCACAAGGCATAGTTTTCTGTTAAGTACGGCAGCACTCCGTCAAATTCAGCTTGCTGGAATGAAAATTGTACGCTTGCGTATAGGCGACGTAAGGCTGCTTGGAAACGTTTACGCCACAAATATACTCCGAAAAATTGGGTTGACTATAAATTCCACGCAGCGCTGTTTAAACGTACAGTTGATATAGCTAAAGATAAACAAAATTCTGACTTACATTCGCGTTTATCAAAACCTGATGAAATATCTGCCCTGTACAGGTTTCTACGGAACAAAAAATCGACGCAGGTACCAGCATATTCGCATTCAATAGTGCTGACTCCTAAAGAGACAACAGATTTGTTAGAGGGGATCGCGAAAGGACTTGAAGCGCGTTTCGCTTCGTCATGCTTGAGACCTGTCACATTCAAAAGCGCGACCTCGGACTTTCGGGAAGTCACTATGGCGGAACTGGCAGATGTCATACTAACTGTAAAGCAAGCGGCTCCAGGTCCAGATCAGATTACAAACTCTGTGATTAAATTGATATTTGATTCCCATCCCGATGAGCTTTTGAATATTGTTAACTGCTCCTTACAGCACACATGGATCCCAAGCGCAAGAAAAATTGCTAAAGTTGTGTTGCTGCAAAAAAATCCAAGCCTCGGATATGTTCTGGATAACATTAGGTCAATTTCGCTTACTTCAAACCTAGTTAAAATAATTGGAAAAATTTTTCATAGAAGACTCAGTGAATTCATCGCTCTTCAGGACATCCTTTCACCAAGGCAAGTAGGATTTAGACAGAGGTGCTCTATATGGTCGGCTCATGTTGATTTTGAAAGCCGAATTCGCTTTGCAAAAGTATCTGGTGAGCTTTCTGTATTAGTCACGTTAGATATCGCAAAAGCCTACGATAGTGTGGAATACAGTACATTAATTTCAAGATTAGTGGACTGTGAGGTTCCCAAGTACTTTATATCTTGGATTCAGGAGTTTCTCTTTCACAGACACTTCTTTTGTTGCCACGAGGGAATTACTTTTGCCTCATATAAGCAAACAAGAGGTGTTCCGCAAGGATTAGTCCTGTCACCTCTTGTATTTAATATATTATTATCATCCATTCCCGTTCATAAAAATGTTCCTCTTTACTTCTACGCCGATGATATTGCTTTTTTCTCGTCATCCCAAGATATCAATAGTTTGTATAAAATCTTACAGTCATATTTGAGTGAGCTTGAGGTATGGCTTGGCGGGCTGTCTTTTTCACTTAATGTTAGCAAATGTGCTCCGCTTGTATGCCTCTATCCGTTCCCGTATTTCTTTCACTGCATTATTAAAGTGATCCAATTCCACAAGTAACAGCACTAAAATATCTTGGAATTGTTTACGTGGGCAATTTAAATTGGCAGCAACGAATTGAATCAAACACCCATAAAGCAGAAAGCGCCCTACGATTGCTACGCCAGTTTTGCAATAAGAATTCAGGGATGCGCAGGGATACGTTACTTATGATCTACAAACTTTACGTACGCACAATTCTGGAGTTTCGTTGTGTTCTGCTTTCCGGAAGTGCTGAGTACAAATTAGGACCTTTTATATTGCTAGAAAGGCAAGCTCTGTGGCTGTGTCTTGGGCTACCTAGGTGTGTCGCGAATAGCGTGTTTTATATGGAAGCTAGAATATTTCCACTTGATGCTAGATTTTGACATCTTACTGTGCAAACATATTTAAAACTTTAAGATGCGCCCTTTTCCTGTTCACAGACAGTTTTCATCAAACATCCAGTTTCTTCTTTCAGCGCCCGTGGTTTCATTATCAAAGACCCCAAGTCATTTTTGTCGAGTCTTTGTTATCAAATCTTCACGTTTTCCTCCAGCGTTTAACTCCCCAAACCCTATGCTCGGTTCCAGTTGACTTAGTTTTCGATGATAGTTTTCCGAAAAATGCCAAGTTACTTCCAAAGCATGTTCTGGAGGGCCTCCTTCAAGACCATCTCAGTCATTTTCCTAAATACGTAGTAATTTCGACGGATGCAACACAACATCTTCAAAAGGCTGGAGTAGGTATTTTTTCTCATCAGCTTAATTTGTCTTTTGCGCTCCAATTGCCTGACTTCACTACAAATTCTCTCGCAGAATTCTTGGCTTTTGCATTGGCTCTTCGAAAATAAATTATCAGCAATCAAAAGGTATTATTATTTCGGATTCTTTATCTGTATGTACACATCTAACGTCCGCAAAGCAGTCTCCTCTTCTCAAGATATTTTGGTCTCTCGTACCGCATAGCCTATTAGAAGTTCGGTTTATTTGGGTCCCCGGGCATGCTGGAATTATACTAAATGAAATTGCTGATTCGCTCGCTTCGGCATCTTTAAACTTCCCGGTGGGGCTAGTAGCCCCTTAGTTTCCTTTTATTTCTGCTGAACGATTCAAACGCCTGGTAATCTTAAAAATCAACGAAACGTATCTCCTACAATCTGAAGAATTTCGGCACTTGCAATTCACATGGAATACCGCAAAATGCCTTTCCCATCAATGTGAGGTGACCCTCACAAGCTTTCGCTGTAGAGTTCCTTGGTTAAGTTTTTATCTCAACAAATCAGGATTTTCATTAACTAACCTATGTGCAGTTTGCGATGAACAAAAAACAATCGATCACTTTCTTCTCACATGCCGCCGCTTCGCCTCACTACGACGAATAAATCTTGAAAGACCGATTGGTATGCTCGGATTGCCAGTCAATACATCCACCCTATTATCGTTTGGAGCCAGTCAGTTGGGTGTGGGCCGCAGTGCTATTCTGTCAGCGCTACATGAATTCATTCACGCAACCGGAACGTTACGCTGCTATTGGTAGTGCCAGATATATCAATTATTTGTCCCCTTCCTCATTTTTTTAGTTTGTTTTATAAATTCTGGTTTATCGCATTCTTCTGCACTTTTCACGTTTTTTAAAGGAACATTATTATTGTTCCTATCTAACTTCTCTTCTTTTTTTTAGCAAACGTTGTAAAAAAATTATCTATTACGAGACACAGTGTGGCCAATCCGCCATGTGGGTATGAGCCAAGATATCCTAGGCGACAAGACAAGACAAGACCGAAAAGCACTCTCCACCACTTGTAAGGCAACGTTTTTGTTGTTGTTGTTGTTGTTCTGTTATTGTTAGTGGCGCATACCCACTGTGAGGGATTGGCCAAGAATGGAGTGGTTTTAAAATTGACTGTTCAGATTTGATGTGATGAAGGTTTGCTGCAAGCCACTTCTTTTACTTGCTGAGCCTCTGCCCCACAACACAGGTCAGACACAGATATATATATATATATATATATATATATATATATATATATATATATATATATATATATATATATAAATATATATATCATGATTGCAAAATGTTTCTGACGGTTTTTTTTCGTTATAGAACAGTATTTCATTATGCTCCATTTTGAGCGTGAGTGTCTTGGTGCTTATTTATAGTGAGTTCGAAAAGTCGCCTTTCTTACCCGGCACGAAGTAAACCAGAACGCCGAGGACAAAGTTGACGACAATAAGGATGGTAAGTGCAAAGGAGTACACTCTGAGCAGGAAGGTGTTCTCTCGCAGTGCCCCGACGCAGCCGCACGAGCTGATGGTGAAAAGCGCAAGCCCGAATAGGAAGAGCAGCACCTCCATATGAGTTAGCAGCATTCCCGAGATATCCAGGCGTTCCAGTACGTGCTCCTCTTCCCTGTCCCACGAATCCATGAACATCCTCAATGCAGCCGAGATGAGGGATATGCCCACAAACCACAGGAGAAGGTTGAAAAGCAGCAGCGGCTATCGCACCTGTAGTGCGTACAGCGAGAAGCAACTTTGTACTGCCTAGCCTGCTCCCTCTAACAAGTTGGTTCTTGAAATTCTTCCAAAATTATCTGAAATTGCAGGAGGCAAATGGTGGCTTTATTCTTAAAGAAGATCTTTTGGGGCGCACTGGCCTACATGTGAAGTTGGGCGATGTCGTAAGCCATCCTGCCACTACCACTATAGTCTACAGCAGTACACTTCAGGCAATGGAAAGATGCAAGCAGCTACTGCCAACAATTTGGCGCATTAATTTATAACTGAACTGATCGTCTTTTAGATTACAGAGCAAGTGTAGGCTAGCAATTTAAACCGACCAACGAAATTCAATCTTTTTTAATCACAAAGCAAGTGTCCGCTAGCAATTTAAACCGAACAACATAATCTAGCCTATTTCAGCGATTCTTACATGACACGCATGTCAGGATTATCATGTTTGCACCAGTCGTGCATTTTGTTATTCACTGAAGTCACATAACACTCAGTTTGGTTTGTGTGGAGCTATCAAAATGACTGCGAGCGCATCATGAAGGGCTCAATATACTCCAATGTAGCGTTGAAGTGCGCACACGTTAGGAACAGCAGCGCTACCTTAGCAAAACGCGAGAACTCAATAGTCTGACGTCAGGCACGACCAGCGTCCGTCGGCGCGGCCCAACGGCAATTAGCGCGAAATGCGACATGCTCCAATTCGCGCCAATGCGTCAGCCAGACAACACTGCGTCTCCCTATTTTTGTTATCGAGGGAGGCCGGATGCACTGAAATGCGCATGCGTCAAATAAACACAACTTGGCGCGCGCCTGCGAGTATATGGCAGTACCGGCACCTGGCGTGCACCAACGCCGGCTTGACGCGACGAAATGAACACCGGCGAGCACCCGCACTGCGTCATGTCGAAATGTACTGGCGCCTTGACTGTAGCATGCCGTCATGTTCTGACATGACACGCTTCTCATGACTATCATGTTTGCACCAGTCACATACCTTCGTCATCAATTCGGTCGCATAATACCAAATTTGGCATACGTGAAGCTAGCGAAACAGCCGCGAGCGCATCATCAGTGTGGCATGTAGTCATGGTCTTACATGACACGCATCTCGTGATTATCATTGTTTGGATGTGTCATTTACCAATGTCGTCCGTTCGCGCTACGTAATACCACAATTAGGTACAACTGAAGCTAGCTTAATGGCCGCGAGCTATCTTGAGCGTAGAATGTAGCCATGTTCTTACATGACACGCATGTCATGTTTATCATGTTTCCACCAGTATCATACCTTCGTCATTCATTCACGTGCCGTAATACCAGATTTGGTATAACCGAAGCTAGCGAAGCGGCCACCAGCACGTCATAAGCGTGGCAAGTAGTCATATGTTACATGACACGCGTCTTATGATTATCAAGTTCGCAGCAGTCACATACTTTATTCATTCATTCACGTACTGTAATGCAAAATAATATTTGACGCTAACGAAACGGCCGCAAGCGCATCATGAGTGTGGCATGTAGTCATGTTGTCACATGATACGCATGTCATGATTTTCATGTTAGGATCTGTCGCTTGTGTTCGCCATGCAATCATGCTTTACCACACTAGTTTTCCAGCATGCCATGCGAACGAAACCACCGCAAGAGCTTCAGGACCATGAAATGTAAATCATGACATTCATGACACACATGTCATAATTTTCTTGTTATAATTAGTCAAATTTGTTCTTCATACAGTCATGGTCTGCCATACCAAAATTCGTATCGATACCCTTATCTAAACGGCCAGGACAGCTAAATGTCAAAGGCGGCTACATAGATAGATAGATAGATAGATAGATAGATAGATAGATAGATAGATAGAGAGAAAGATAGATATGTAGATAGATAGATAGATAGATATATAGATAGATAGATAGATAGAGGGATGGATAGACAGACAGGCGGATGGATAGATGAATGGATAGATAGATAGATAGATTGATGGATAGATAGATAGATAGATAGATAGATATATATATAGATAGATAGATAGATAGATAGATAGATAGATAGATAGATAGATAGATAGACTGAAAGTGCCCACAGTTCACTAAAAGCACTTTCTGTTTAAAACAATTTTTCGTAATAATTTTCAAAAAAACTTTGGGCGTCTGTCATACAGATCCTAAAGTTCATATTACTAATGAAATATTTAGTTTTACCTTAGAAAGGCACAATATAACGCACGTCATTTGGTGCACTTCAAAATAACTAGAGCCGCTGTAAGGTTGTCTCTTCCTAAAATATTAAGCTAAAATACTAGCGCAGGCTTCTCTTTGCGTCATTTTCCATCCATGTGCTCATACCCCAGGTGGTAAAAGAAACCCATGCTCCCGTGCTTACAGAAACAATGCCATTCCTTCTTAAAAATCATTCTGGTACTCACTTACGACTCATTCTGAATAGGAGGGAGGGAAAAAACGGACACCAGCAATAAATCATGAAACCTGCAAACTCTGACTGTTTAGTGCCTTATATTCTTCGTAGTTCTAAAAGGAAATATTTCATGGGCGTTATTGTAGAAGGTACTCAATATCAATGCGGAATGCGTGTGAAAATATTTGTAAGGAATTCTCAGAATTTCTATGCTATTGATTTCGTCTCAGCCAATAAAGCAGACGCTCCGTTACTTTCCATTATGCACACACTGCTTAGAAAAAGGTTCGCTGCTGAATAAGCAGCATGATGGGTCCCTCACCAAGAAATGTTAATCTTTCAACGTCTGCAACTTCTTGTACGTAAGCTTGAAATATGAGCAGGTTGTGTACATCACATGAACTCGCCGCTAGATTGACGTCAAGCAGGACCATCTCCTCCTTCTCTAGGCTGCACACCGACACTGGCGGTCTCAGCGAGCTGGTGCATTCACTTAATGGACATCTTGAGGCTGAGAACGTCGGTGAATGTCCGCTTTGTAGCTCAAAAAGCGGTTGCACGTAACAAGAGTTTTCAGTTACACCATCCAATGATCGCCTTCGTCTGGTTGTTCACGTTCTTTTGAGGCTAATACCCATTGTGGGAGAGGGGCGAAGAATTGGGGGGTCTTATTAAATCTTATAGAGTTGTTGTTATTCTTGTTGTTGTTGTTTTTGTCTCTACACATGGTTTTTACCCAATGGAGGGGATCGGCCAGTAATAAGGGGAATTCTGCAAATATTCCCTGGATTGTTTAATTCCAAGGAACGCCAGTGTAGAGACCTTCCCAGAATGAAGACCCTGTCTTTTTCTATATTGTGTGCAACTTGATGGAGACAAGGGCCCATTACCAATACTTGTTTCTTTCCCCTATTCACTTTACCGATGCTTTAGTTTTTCAAGAACATCGAAAAATGCGCTAAAATTTATTCAAATCTTTCCTTCATTCGTACTGTGTTTGAAAATAATGTTTTTATGTGGTCATTCGCGCTATTACCTCAGTTTGATACTTTTTATTTAGGAATACTTACAATCTTGTCAGTGATGCTTACAGCAGTTGGTCATCATGGCGTGAACGCATTAGAGCACTCACTCGCACTATTTCACCATCTGGCCTAATGTTCTTGAAAAAAAGAAGAAACATAATTACAAATCGCTTTTGTAAATCTAAAAATATGAAAGTAAAATGAGGATGATAAGCTCACGAAATAGAAAATTGATGACAAGTTTACACCAGCCTCCAACGAAATTTCGAATTACACGTGAGAAAGAAAGAGGTAAACACATATAGGTGACTATGTCTTCTCATACATCTACAGCCAAAATGATTCGTAATGCAATGCAATTATCGGTGCTTCGATTGTAAGTGAAACGCAGATTTTCTAATTAATTCTATTAGGGGGAACTCTGTGGAGTCGTTGCTGAGCCATATTGAAAATAATTGCTTTCTGAATAAAGAATAACGGACAGCGCGTGGGTTCCTGTGCGATTCGTACTTGAATATTAGAACATTGGTTATGTTTCAATACTCGCCATTGACAGTTAAATATACAGCTGAATGGACGGCAGCCATCTGAAGTCCCATTCCAATTTTCTTGTAGAAGGCAAATAGACAGCTCTGAGAAGACCGCATCGTAGACAAATACGATGCAGGCTACTTTGCCGTCTAAACAAGATGGCGACTCAACAATTCGCCCAGATATGTCGGATCTCGCCGGAATGGTCATCTGCACACAAGTAGACACTTCGCCACATACTCATTGTGAGTAACGTTTTTTTTTAATTTGAACACGAAATTAGCCACAAATTACAATCTTTACATTTTCTTATTTTAGTTTTCTTTTCGCGACTCGAGGTGGCGCCTCTTCGCGTAGAAGCGGCTTTCCTCAGAGAGGAAAACAGGCAATTGTAGAGCGTATATCAAATGACATTCAGGAGTTAGCAGGAGAGTGCGAGATAATTATACTAGGTGATATGAATGCGCACATAGAAGATATAGATGGGTATACTGACCCAACAGGCAAATTGATCATGGCTATGTATGAAAGGCATGATTTGATCATTTTCAACAGTACCGAGAAAGTGTGAAGAGCAAATAACACGAGAGGTAGGAAGGCTGCAGTCCGACGATAGATTACGTACTGATGTAACATAGGATGTATGATATGCTCAGGGGAATGCACATAGATGAAGGGGGCTCCAGAAGTCTGGGTAGTAATCACAAACATATCAAACTAAGTTTTAGAGGAGCAGTGAAAGTGGGAAGGAAATAAGATGAGAAACTATAGGAAAATTTTTATTCAGAAAGGCAAATAGACTTAGCTACTAAAGGAATTCAGAAAGTAATCACTGAGGATAATGAAACAGTGTGGACATACACGAATTTAATTAGACTGTTTGAGCTAGATCTTGCTAAGACACGTGACAAGTCACCCCGGAAAAGAAGACAGAAACTCAAAAGT